CTTTGGACTGTACCCTCCTCATCCTCTGGGGGAGGTAGAGGGGGGGGGGGGCGCATGGCCTCTATTTTTCAGGGGGGGTTCGGGCACTGGTTGGGGGTCGGTTCTATGTGTACTGCATCCTCGAATTGTCCCCTCACTATAACTACTGTGGATCTTCAGTATACAGCTATCCTTACTCAACGCGTCTATGCGTCCGGCAATCTCCTACATCAATCAACCTGTGAGCTTTCAGCATGCAGCTTTCGTCACTCAATGCGTCTAAGTGTTCGGCAGTCGCAGACGTCACTCAACCCGTTAAGTCTCAATATGCAGCCATCCTCACTCAAAGCGTCTGTGTCTGGCACTATCCAAGATCACTCAACTCGTGAGGTTTCAGTATGTATAGCTATCCCCACGCAGCGCGTCGACNTCTATGTGTCCGGCACTATCCAACACCACTCAACTCGTGAGGTTTCAGTAGGTACCTATCCCCACTCAAATCGTCTATGTGTCCGGCAAACTCAAAAACCAATCCATCTGTGAGGTTTCAGTATGTAGCTATCTTCACTCAACATGTCTATGCGTCCGGCAATCTCCAATAAAAATCAAACTGTGAGGTTTTAGTATGTGTCTTTCCTCACTCAAAGCGTCTGTGTCTGGCACTATCCAACAATTACTCAACTCGTGAGGTTTCAGTTTGTAGCTATCCCCACTCAGCGCGTCTATGTGTCTGGCAAACTCAAAAACCAATCCATCTGTGAGGTTTCAGTATGTAGCTATCTTCACTCAACATGTCTATGCGTCCGGCAATCTCCAATAAAAATCAAACTGTGAGGTTTTAGTATGTGTCTTTCCTCACTCAAAGCGTCTGTGTCTGGCACTATCCAACAATTACTCAACTCGTGAGGTTTCAGTTTGCAGCTATCCCCACTCAGCGCGTCTATGTGTCAGTCAAAAACCAATGCATCTGTGAGGTTTCAGTATGCAGCTATCCTCACGCAACACGTCTAGGTGTCTCGCAATCTCCAATACAAATTACCTGTGAGGTTCAATATGTGTCGATCCTCATTCAACGCGTCCATGTGTCCGGCACTCCAACATCACTCAACCCGTGGGGTTCCGGCAGCTATCCCCACTCAATTCGTATATGTGTCTGGCAATCTCAAACCTCCCCTTTCCGTGGGGTTTCAGTATACAGCTATAATCACTCAACACGTCTATGTGTCCGGCAATCTCCTACATCACTCAACCTGTGAGGTTTCCGTAAGCAATCCTCACTCCACGCATCCATGCGTCACGCGTCTTTGGTAGCGCATACTATGGGGGCTATATTTGGGGTGGCGTGTTTTACAGCGCTTTGCCAACAGCGCCAACCCACGTAAGTCTAGATTGGGGGACCGGGGAGGGGGGGGGCTCGTTTTACAACGTCGTTGCCAAGCGACGAAAACCCAACCATTGACGCAAACACCG